AACTCCAGTGATAGGATTTTGGAGCGGATTTGCTTGGCTCGTTGGGATGACACTCGTCATCGCATTGCTATCAGAGTATGTTGTGGCCACTATCGAGGTAATTAATCAAATCGATATATGTTTAAAGTTTAAACACCTAAATAAAAAAAAAACTCGCATTATTAAAATGGAGGTTTATATATATCTTTGTTAGGATGCGTCGGACTCATGGGGACTATCAGTGAGTTTCATAAGCGTCATATTGCTTCCCATTGTTGGAAATGCGGCTGAGCACGCTGGAGCCATCATTTTCGCTTTCAAAAACAAGCTCGTGAGTTTCCATTTTTTCTTGTTTAACAACTTTTCTAGATTATATGATCTTTTTTAGAAAAAAAATTGCGTTCGACTATGGTTTTGTATTTAGTTAAGTAACAATGTTTAGCATGTTAAATTTTGCAATACTATTTTATAAAAATTCAACATGTAAATGCAAGCCGTTTAGACCAAAATCGAGCACAATACCTGAAATATCTTTATAATGGTCATAATTGTAGGACATATCTCTAGGGGTCGCATTGGGCTCTGCAACTCAGATTTCCTTGTTCGTGGTAAGTTCGTCGTCTCCCTATTTTTAATTATGTTAAAATCTGAAAGATTCGATGAAATATTACTTGCAATATAACAAATTTATGTGTTTCCTCAGGTCCCATTGAGTGTCATCGTTGCGTGGATTATGGGAATCAAAATGGATCTCAACTTCAACATCCTTGAAACAAGTTCTCTAGCCGTGGCCATTATCATCACAGCCTTCACTTTACAGGTAAACGTTCTTCCTTACATTACCATCCCACTCAAGAGAGCCAACACCGAACATATAACTAATGATGAGTGAACATATAACCTTTTGTATTTCCGCTTGGTTCAGTTGGATTTGATGCAAATTTGATTTGGATTTTAGGTTAGGTATTAGATATAAAACATGCAGCTTAAAAGCTATAAAAAATAATAATCAATGTTATATCGGTGTATAATCTGCTTATATCTAATTTTAATATTTAAGAGTATAAATTTTTGATTAATTTCGATTGTTTCGCTTGTTTTGGCATAAAACGCATTCGGTTTTGATTTAAATATTTGAGTTTGAATTTTGGCTTGGTCTATTTTAATTTACCTATCCGTAAATTTAATCACCAACGTTTATTTTTGGGGTGGTTAGGATGGAACATCACATTACATGAAGGGACTAGTTCTATTCTTGTGCTATGTCATCATCGCGGCCTGTTTCTTCGTCGACCAAATTCCTCAAAGTAAGTAATTGAAATTATTCCCATATATTCTCAACTTATTACTCAGAAATTGTCTAAATCACATAATGATAACTTGTGTTCAACAGAACAACCAAATGGTATGGGCGTGGGGCTTCAACCCAAGAACAATTTGGGAGTTTTCTCAGCTTAAAAGTGAGAAGATATAATCATCAAATGGACAAAAAAATAGGGGGAAAATATGATTTGATTGGATCCTCATCCAAAACGGAGAGACTTGTCGGAGAGATTCCTCGTTATGAATGAGGGAGGGAGCTTAGTGAAGACAGGTTTTTTATATGTTTTATGAAGTCACATTTGTCGCTTTCTTTCTTTCGCTTGTTGGCATTTCATCCTCATCTTGTGCATGCATGATATGTTCTTTGTGTGAGTAGTATGAATAAAATCGTATTTTCTGATTTAGTGATATAGAGAGATGTCCTAAGAAATCCATTTTATTTGAAGCTAACTAGTAGATACCTTATAATCTGGTGTCCTTTCTTAAATTAAAAATGGCATGAAAGAAGGATGAACAAAAGTAAAACTACTTGAAGTGGTGTAAAAGAAAGACCGAGACAATTGCATACAATAAAGCCCCTTAGAAGACTCGTATAAAAGAAGCCCATAAAGCCCAATATAATGCTCAACGATCGAGCCCCACTTGTTCTCGCGCCACTTGACATATAATCACAGAGCGGCCTTTTTTTCATAAAACATTTTTCGCCTTATCTCTTTCCCTCTAAACTCTTTCACCATGGAAGAAGAAGACAGAGCGATTCTCACATTTCGCCCTATCCCTTCACTCAATTCCTCTCTACTAACCTCTTCCTACACCAAATCCGCCACCGTAAAGTTCCGCCGCCGTATCTCGCCGGATTCCCCTCCCGGAGATGTCGGTTTCGGTAGTAGATTCGCTTGCATTTCCCTGGTGGAGAAGTGCGAGCAGAGGGAATTCGCTCCGACTCCGGCTCAGCTCTTGAATAACCCGCTCGCTATACTCGCTCTTTTCCCCAAAGATGCCGCTATTTTTGCCGCCGGTGCTATTGCCGGAGCCGCCGCTAAAACTGTTACTGCTCCACTTGACCGTATCAAGCTTCTTATGCAGGTTTTTTATTGTCCCTGTAATTTCGTATTTGAGATTTTTTTTCTGTGTTAGATTCTTTGGTGGCTTCATTGTTAGTTTGTTGTTCTTAATTCTTCTATCTGAGTATGGTTTATTTGCAGACACATGGTATACGAATTGGACATCAAAGTGCAAAGAAGGCAATAGGATTTATAGAGGTTAGCTTTTTTGCGTCGATGTTCATGTCCTTTGTTGTTTCCACTCTTACCTTGTTCTCTTTCATGCTTAACTTGCAGGCAATCACTTTGATAGCTAAAGAAGAAGGAATGAAAGGTTACTGGAAGGGAAATTTGCCTCAGGTTCTCTAAAATTGGTTGTTTTGAAACTTGTGGTATTTTATAATACAAGTGAGAGGTTTCTCTTTGAGTTAATGGATTTTGTGTGTTGAAAATGTGATACCAGGTGATTAGAGTGTTACCTTATAGTGCGGTCCAGCTTTTGGCTTACGAGAGTTACAAGGTCAGTCTCTATTATCAATAGCTTATTTTGCTATTCTGGTTATGTACTAAACAGAAATGAAAATTGATGGTTGTACAACACTACAAAGTCATAGAAAATTCCGTAGCTACTTGTCCAAGATGATGAAACGATGATTCTGGTCTAAAGTTAGATAGATTATTTACAGGGATTTTGTCCTCTACGAAACTTTGCTTGATTGCATTAGTTTTTTTGTTCTTTGTATTGAAACTGACATCATTCAGTGTAAAGCTATAGGTAACAGTTTTTTTGCTCTTTCTCTCTATTACTTGTACCGTTTGACTGAGGATTCCATATTTTGGATTCAGAAATTGTTCAAAGGTAAAGATGATCAGCTCTCAGTAATCGGGAGACTAGCGGCGGGTGCTTGTGCTGGCATGACGTCTACTTTGGTGAGTAATTGTAGTCTGGTAAATGTACTGTTTGCTAAAATTGTTTATCCTTTTTCGGGTTTATTCATTTGTCGGGGTAAATTAACTGTCTTGTAGGAGTTAACAGATACTTGAGATTAGCTATCTATTTGTTGAGCCTACTTCTTTCCTCGAATTAGTTCCATCACAAGTTTGCATCCTTATGGTGACTGTACTGATGAGTCTGATGTTATGTCTGAAAATTAGGCATGAAATCCTCACTGTCTACTTGAAAACTAAATCCTTGTATATTTGGAAATGTAGGAGTTTCATGTGGTTTACTTTCTGTTTAAGGTTTAGTCAAAGTTTCTTCATTTTAATTTCACCATACATGTAACACTTGCTGAAACTATGTACTGCTCCAAGCATATAGATATGTTAATCTATCAATCTGATTCTTGCATCTTGGTTCTTATGCAGATGACATACCCACTAGATGTTTTGAGATTAAGGTTGGCAGTTGAACCTGGGTACCGAACAATGTCTCAGGTGAGATGAAATTTCATTTGATCATTTCTGATTAAGCTCTCAAACTCTAATCCTCAATACTCATGCCCTCATTTGCCTTGGTTTTCTGATGTATATGCACATTTCATTGTTAGACATTGTGTAATGTAAACTCTTGCAGGTTGCTTTGAGTATGCTCCGTGAAGAAGGAATTGCATCTTTTTATTACGGCCTGGGACCTTCTCTAGTGGGGATAGCTCCATATATTGCTGTGAACTTTTGTATTTTTGATCTGTGAGTCTGCTTAACTTTCATTCCATCTGTTTCAACTTTCAAGTACCCGTACGAAAAAGAATTGAACTGGACTAATATCCTTCTGGCCCCATAACTGACAACAGGGTGAAGAAGTCTTTACCGGAGGAATATAGACAGAAGGCGCAGTCGTCTCTATTCACAGCTGTTCTTTCGGCTGGTATTGCAACACTGACATGTTACCCTCTAGACACTGTGAGAAGGCAAATGCAAATGAGAGGAACTCCATACAAATCAATTCCGGAAGCATTTGCTGGTAAATTAACATTATTTCATCATGCAACAGATTAGAGCAAGATCTTCAGCAGTCGATTTACGTACAATACATCTTGTCTATTAAGCAAAAGACTTGAGTTTTGAACCGAGTCACTTTTTACATCTGCTGTGCAGGAATTATAGACCGTGATGGGCTTATAGGCTTGTACCGCGGCTTTTTACCCAATGCATTGAAAACTCTACCAAACAGCAGGTTAGACTCTTCCTTAACATTGAAATTAGCATTTTCAATGCCTTTGTTTAGATGATCTTAGGCTGCTGATCAGTTTGAAGTTTTGATAATAGATCAATCTGTATGCTCTTTAGTATATGCAAACACAAATTATGTACATATGTTTAGATTATTAAAGGTCTATAGCTGATGAAATATCCATTGCCGTTTACATTTATCGTGCAGCATTAGGCTTACGACCTTCGACATGGTAAAACGGCTTATTGCCACAAGTGAGAAGCAGCTTCAAAAGATCTCCGATGATAATCGGAATCGAGACCAAACTGGATAACCATTCCTTTAAAATTTTGGAATAGAATTGTTCCACATGAAAATTTTGGATCAGCTGGAAATTTTTGGCTAGAGAGTCACTAGTTTTACATTTTATTTAGCTTCTTAAACTCTACTAGTTCATGTGTGGGAAACGATATGTATATTCAGCAGAATTCTGTTGGAAAATTCACTATTACTTGGATTTCAATAGAAAATCAAAAGCCTCAAGAGTTTCAAGAGACCAAAGACACATTTTGAAAGCTGAGTTTAAGCATATACATAGTTTGTGTTTTGATTTGGATGATCACTAAAGCAGGCATGGTTACATTGTTTACTGTGGAGAAAAAGCCGAAACAAACCTCCCGAAACGCGTAGAACTGTTTCGCTTTATGTGGAAAAAGAAAAACAACACACGATTTTTGATCTACGGTTCTCAACACACAAATTACAAAATACTTACTCCTGCTTCTGGACTGCAGTTATGCTCGAGATACATAATGTGATTTCTATCTCCGGTTTAG